TGAACTTAATATAACATTTACTATTTCATATTTCACGGGTGTGAGACAATTGACATTCTTTCTTACGGACATTTCGTTTAGATCGTGTCGTCATTCATTTTTTTCATCAGTTCGTCGTTGTGACGCTGTAATTCTTATAACCACGTCATCAATTTTCATAGGAGGCCCATACCATGATTATGGACGGTTTGGCTCTAATACTAGACTTGATGTGGGAGTGTGAGACGATTATTTTTTAACACATTCTTTAACATATATTGTAGGGCACAAGTGGTAGGGTGGCCGCCAGTGAGGAACTACAGGAAGAATTTAATGGCACAGAAGAGTAGCGAGGAGGAGGCGCTTGAGAAGAGCGGCGGCGGGGCAGTGGCGTTTGTGAAGGTCTGCATGGACGGAGCGCCGTACCTCCGCAAGGTTGACTTGAAGATGTATGAGAGCTACCAACAGCTGTCTGATTCTCTTGCCAAGATGTTCAGCTCCTTCACTATGGGTAATTTGACTTTTCATGCATTCATTTATTTTTATTTATTTTATGTTTGATATGCAACTAACTAGCTAATAGATCCAAGTTAAACATTTTGAGGTTCAAGCTCCAACTTACATAAATATTGTAGAACAAACAAACAAAAATGTATCATTATTGGAGCATTACTGTAGAACAATGATAGCATAGTAGAAGGTAATTACTCTCTCTATCTCATACCAAGATTCTTTGTTTTGTTAATAATACTGAGTGTATATATACTTGGGTAAAAACACAAACTTTTACACTTGAATTAATATTTACAATTAAAATTTACACTTTTAATTATACTTAAAGCCCTTGAGTTTAATAACCGATTTGGAATATTAATATAATTTGTTTATAAATTAAGAAATTAAAGTAAATAATTAAGTACTTACCTTCTTCATGAAGTAGCACCTCAAAATCTTAAATTGTAAATAGGGATATTACCCGAAATAGGACTAAAAAGGTTTCAAAATTCAAAATAGGACTGACATGTTTTTATTCCCAAAATAGGACTAATTACTGCCATGTTTTGGCAGTACCAGACTTCAAACATGGCATTATTTTCCAAACTTGGCAGTAATTACTCTTATTTTGGGAATAAAAAACATGTCAGTTCTATTTTGGAATTTTCAAACTGTTTTAGTCCTATTTCGGGAACTTTCCCTTGTAAATACAATACTTTTGTCCTATCTAGCTTTGAATTGACTCTGTTTTTCACTCCACTTTACCGCATATTGGAATTTATTACCTCTTTCTCCAAAACTTGGATTGAAATATTAAAGTCACGTTTTTAGTACTAAAGTATTGCAAACAAAAAAAGAGCAATTCGTAAGATATGAATAATCTCTAAAAAAGTTTCTTTTGTACTTCGTTCACTCATAGATAGTATATCGAAGTAGCACCAAATTGAAAAAGATTCCCTAAAAAATATTGTCACGTTTTTTCAAGACTTGCTAGCTCCACTAGTGGTCGCTTTTTTATATCCTACGGATTAGAGTATTTTGTTCGAATTGCTCCATCAATTACTACTTTCTAAGTAGATCTTGTAAACTATGGGTAAAATAAAATAATTAACCATTAAAAGGCAAATTGTATGTTACACTTAAGTTACCTATCTTGTACTAGTATATGTGAACCAATTACATCATTACAAACACTACAAAAAATTAGGGGGTTGGCAAATCTCTGCATAAAAATACATATCTATCCTGTGTTTTTGTAGTGAAATGATTAATTAGAATGTTTTTATATGAACTTATCTCGATCTCAATTTAGACCTAAACAGATCAGATCAGACTCAAACAAATTCAACCTGCTTAAAAATTGTTCAAAATAGGAACAAAACATAATCAATAATTTAGAAAGGTAATAGTTAATTGGAGTGATTATGGTGAATTAAGCAGGTAATTATGGCCCCCAAGGCATGATAGACTTCATGAATGAAGGGAAGCTGATGGATCTCCTGAACAGCTCAGAGTATGTGCCCACCTATGAAGATAAGGATGGTGACTGGATGCTCGTGGGGGATGTGCCATGGGAGTATGTTCATTCATTCCATCCGTCCATCTTTTCGTTTTTTCTCTCCATTCATCATTTTCTTCTTAATCCACTCATATTGAATTTCATCATATCATTATTGTATCAAAATATCCCCCACCATCTTATAGAGTTTCAATCCTTTCCACTTTTTAGCTTACATTAGCTTGCTCAAACTATGAATTAATAAGCTTCCTTACCGATGCATAAAAAATGAATTAATAAGCTAACTTAATTTGCATTTGTAGAACAATTAATATCTATATTAATCCCAATTAATCCCAATTAATCCCAATTATGTTTCTAATTGTTGCACAGGATGTTTGTTAATTCGTGCAAACGCTTGCGCATAATGAAAGGATCAGAAGCAATCGGACTTGGTACGTTACATACGCACGACTTTTAATTTTCTTGATTCTATACAGCTCCTTTTTGTGGGTTTAATTCCAAGTTTGAATTATAAATAACTAATTAACGGGATTTCAGCCTTTTAGGAACTTTCAATTTCATTTTTTCGAAATTTCATCTTAATCGTGTGCAACATTTTTTGAGATAAAAACTATGTTCATAAGTTTTGAAGCCTTCATGTCATTGTTTCTATTTTTCTTGCTTTCATACCCTTTTCAGCATATATACTTTACCAAGAAATCTAAAGTAATTGAAGTAAGAAATTTATTTTGGAACATCCCAAAAGAAAAGGTGAAACTTAATTTCGGGACAGTATTTGTCAATGTAACTGTCACACTGTACACTCAAGTTATTTTACTTTGAAGTAATTAAATTAATTGGTTTTATTCTAACATAACAGTCTTTTTACTAAATGAAATATAGCACCAAGAGCAATGGAAAAGTGCAAGAGAAGGAACTAATAAACAAAGGCATAGATATATATCACATGGCCTGCAGTTCCATTTCCTCCAAGTTGTGCATGCAATCAAGAAGCTAAGGAAGGGGTTCTTATATATGTGATGGTTGTTTGATCTTTGTGTCTGTAATTTTATTTGATTACTATATAGTATACTCATACTAGTATATTAAGTTAAACTTTTTTTTTGACATTTGTAATGGACAAGAAGCAAATCCTTAAATTAAACCCTATTGTCTGGCTGTTACTACAAATTAGTGGCTTGTTTCATTTTCATTATTATTGTCATTAATATTAAGTTTTTGGTTTTTGTTTCTGTCTTTTTGTGTTTACTGTGGTGGTGTTGTACAATTTTCTTTGTTGTCACAGTAGTTCGGAGTACAGTTTTAATTCTTTGAATCTGATAATAAATGCCAATTTCTTTTTCTTCCCCATTTCCTAAATCATTATATTTCAATTACTCGTCATTTAATTTTGTGAATAAAAATAATTGCACATAGATGTACTTTCGTGGCAGTGTAATCTTTTGTGATATTAAAGTCTACGTTTGGAGGGAACATGCCATGTGCTTGTTCATGGATGTGTTGCTTCTTCCATAACTCATTATTTGATCTTCTTCAATTCATCATAATATCAAACGATTAATTATATTTTATTTAGAGATCAGAAGATTGTTTGGCTTTGCAATGGGGTCTGGTTATTTTTATTACTAATACATTATTATACCATTATTATAGGCTTATAGCTAGATATGGCCAGACGAATATGCATGCGACCTTTTTGTTCATGAAGGTCAATTCTACCTCGTGCTTTTATTTGAATATATCCCAACTTCCCAACAAGATGTAGACCTAAGAAGTTCATACACATTTATTTCAACCAGACGCTGCTCCCTTGAAATTAGTGATGTGTATAGAAATTTTTAAGGGCCGTAACGGGTAGAATGACTATAAAGTCCGAAAATGCTCAATCTGCATAATTGAAAGTGTTTGGTAATATCTTGGTTGAAATAATTTATTGAATGTAAAATTTACTATAAAAGGTATTAATTTATGTGTGTTAAATATATGAATTGTGATTTTTGTACAATTAGGTGATTATTATAAGAGTAATTAATTAAAGGATTACTTTGAAATTTTGGCTCTTATCATAACATGGTCGGTCCTGTCTATTTCTGGGCCTATGGGCGATACACTATTTTAGACTTATATACATGACAAAATACTTATTTGAAATATGAATTATAATAAAAGTATTGAATGAAGTTATATAGGGTGAGTAGGCTTTCAAGAAACCATATACTTCCATTTCTTCTATTTGTTATACTTTAAAATTTAAATATAACAAGCTTTTACGCTACTTAGTTTTGCAATACCATTTAGAGCTAAGATTTTACCCTACACGTTTAGAAGTACTTGTGTGCTCCCATTAATTAAAGCTTTTCCCAATTCTTAAAGCTAAGATTAACAAAATTCAATTTTAAGTTTTGCTAACATATCTAATTGAATCAACATTTTGGCAATGATTTCACAATCATACTTCAATCATTTTGCTAGTTTTATGGTATAATTCAAAGGAAAAGTTTCAACATCTTCTTTTGAAAGCACGTGAAACAAGCTAATATAGAAACTTTCTAAACAGTCCAAAGGAAATTCTTTCCCCAAAAAAAAAAAAGTCCAAAGGAAATTCTCACAAAAAACATGTTGATAAGAATGAATTGTCTCTCTAAAAAGAATTGTAGTAAAATCAATATCTTAGAAACATATTATAATATCTTCTTAGTCGTCAGGTAATTATACCTGAAACTCAAAGAAGATTAGAAGAATTCGGATCGCAACAACTCACATGAATATGTTAAAATGCAGGGCAAAGTAATTACGAAAATGCACTGTGTACACGTCGGCTTACACGACCATGTACACAGCATAAAAAGCTCACCCCCTCCCTTTTTCTAACTGTATTAACCCCCACCCTCTCTCCTCCATTCCAAAACGTAACCCCTGCGCAACCAACGAATTGTCTGTCCCATTATTTTCGTTTGTCTGTGATCTCTTCCTTCTCTAAAGTGGTGATCTTCTTGCTTTGAACTGGTGATCGAGTTTGTATGGCGGCGACGACGAATGGCATGGAAGCGAATAAGAAGTATGGTGGAGACAACGAACTAGGCCTGGGGTGGACATGGGAGGATATTTTCGGCCCGAGTCGCGCTAACACGCCAGCCGCGATGGAAGGGTGTGAACTAGCGACGGGGGGAGGGATGCAAGATCATGAAGACACATGGAAGGAGTTGAACACACTCCGGCTTCCACGCAAGGCGATGAAGGGGCGCCGGATGGGAAAGTTGTGGAGGCTGAGCAAGGTAGGTGTTTATGTAGCGTCGTTTCTTCACGGTTGTTATGTGGTGGTGTAATGAAGCTTCACAAACAACGTTTTTTGAACGCACAGACAAATTAATATTGTATGTTTTTGTATGTAGAGAAGTAATTTGTCTGTGTGGAGACATTAATTGTCTCTTCGTACAGACAATTACAAATATGTTGCCATAATTATGTATTTCATTTTATAATGTCTGTGTTTAATATTATTTTATTCATTTGTTCTTTGTAAGCGGTTTGATCATTCTGTAAAGTTGATGAAGTAGTTTGTCTGTATTGTATTTAATAATGTCTGTATTTGAATAAATTTGTCTGTATATACATATTCTTAAATCACAGATGCATATGCACAGGAAGACGAGGAAGAAAATGTTATTGTGGTTGTTCCGGAAGTGGGCATGAAGTTTGATAGCACAGACACGGTGTATGAGTTTTACAAAACATGTGCTAGAAGTGTAAGGTTCCCGGTTAGAAAAGGAACATCAACTAAGGATAGATGCAAGGGAGAGGTAGTGAAAATTGTAACAGAGTGTTCGCAGGCGGGAAGTAGAGGTAGCAAGGCACTGAACTGTTTGAAGCCTCAAGCTTCAATGTGAACATCTTGTTCGGCAAGAATTAGAGCACGGACTACTTATGTTGGTCATGGGAAATTTCAAAAGTATTTTTAGAACATAATCACCCCATGAGTCCCACAAAATCTAGACTATTTCGTTGCAATAGGAAGTGAACATCAAAAGCGATGAGACATCTTGCGATTAATGAAGTTGCGGGAATTCCACTTAACAAGAGCTTTAACTCCGTTGTTGTTGAAGTGGGGGGGGGGGGGGGGTATGATGCCTACCTTTTATTGAAAAGGATTGTAGGAATTGCATAGAAAAAAAATAGGGAACTTAGGCTAGGAAGTGGTGATGCCATGGCTATACAAGCTTTTTTTGTTTCAAAAATGCAAGCACAATGTCCCAGTGTCTTCTTTAGTGTTGATTTAGATTATGAGTCTCGCTTGAGAAATGTGTTTTGGGCGAATAATAGAAGTAGATATGCATACAAAAGTTTTGGAGATGTCATCACCTTTGACACAATCTATCTAACTAATCCATATGACATGTAATTTGCAACATTTGTGGGTGTGAATCATCATGGTCAATCTATATTATTTGGATGTGGCTTAATCTCAAATGAAGACACACAAACTTTTGTTTGGCTCTTTAAAGATTGGCGGGTCCCTGGCTAGCAGACAACAATGGACCAAAAACAAAGAAGCCAACTTCACACGGTCCATGAAATGTTCTTCGTCACGGTTACCTCTGAGTTCTATAATCTTCGCCTTCAACTTGCCATAGGTTACATCATCGCATCCATCAAAGTATTTGTCAATGACTCCCAGCTGGTGATCAACATCATACGCTGGCCACTGGACAAGATCTTAGATATAAGTTATCCTCTTAAAGTCATCATATGTGAATTTCATCAACTTTCTGTCCACGGCAAATCACATTTCATCATCGGGCTGGTCACACACAAGGAGTAACAACAACAAATGAATCAGTTGAGCAGAGAACTGTATCTGTGCAACATCAAACAAGTGTCCAAAAGGCGTCTTTGTAACCATGAGCCTCTACTTCAATGTTAGGCATTCGCTAAGCAGTTCCAAGGCCTCTAAGAAGGCAGACCGTACAGAGTATTCCGCGGGAAAGTAATCTTTAAGAGGAATTTGAAATTCCATCCTAAATATGAATCACGGACATTTGTCACAATTACAGACATCTCATTTACACAAACAGTTACACAAATCATGCACATACAATTTTCTCAAACATCTCAAACATTTATTCAAAGAAAAACATACACCTGACCATAAAGCCAACTCTAAAATACAGACACATATAAGAAGACACAGACAACTCTCACAAACTTAGACATCTCAAAATGTCACACGGACAACTGAACAATGCCATACAGGCAACTCTCAATTCGTGTACACACATGTGCATAGTGCACACATTCCAAAGTGCTTGGCCATGCACACATCTCAACAAATGCAATACAGACACGTCTGAAATGCACAATAGCAAACATAAATAAATGCATAAAGACAACTATAATATGCACAAACAGAGTCCCGATCCTGTCAGGCCGGCCTAACGGAAACCGCCGTTAGGCCGAGGCCATCAGAGGCCCTTCCCGGTGGAATTGTTTGATGAAAATGTTTGAGCATGTTCCTCATCAAGTCTAGTTTATTCATACCAAATTTCAGCTAACAATTCAATCGGGAAGGCAGTCAAAAAAATTCCCTACTAAAACTGCGCAGTTTATATATAAATAATGCACAGTTTTAGTTGGGAATTTTTTTGACTGCTTTCCCGATTGAATTTTTAGCTGAAATTTGGTATGGATAAACTAGACTTGGTGAGGAACATGCTCAAAAAAGTTCATAAAAAAATTCCACCGGGAAGGTCCCCAAATGACCTCGGCCTGACGGCGGTTCCCGTCAGGCCGGCCTAATACGATCTGTTCTCGGCACAAACATATAAGAACTAACTACACAAACATCTCAAAATCACAAAAACATTTAAGAACACACTACACAGACATATGAAAAACCACAAACATATATGAACACACTAAAAACGGAATAAACAGGTAACTCTAAACATGGTAAAAATCACAATAGAGAAAATGCAGTTTAACTCCAAACAAAAACACATTATACACTAAAAAATGGTAAAAACAAATGAAGCAAATTCACATAATAGCATACACACAGCCTGACGTAAACTTCAAACAATTCATGCATGTCAATACCTCATTGAGAAACAACCAAGAACAAAAATAAACTCAGAAATACAAGGGCTGACCTCCGTCAAAAATTAACTCAAAAATAAACTCAGAAATAAACTCAAAACAAGGTTAAAAAAAATTACCTTTGAGCCAATTCCTTCAATGAAGTGTGAACCATTTACGAGCGTCTTCAAGGTTTTCTGTAAGGGGCCGACTGACTTTTGGAGTTCGCGCAGACACCGGACGGGAGGGTGGAAGTAGGGACGAACTTTGATAGAGAGGGGGAGCCACGAAATTCGATAGAGAGGGGCGGCGATGCAGTGGGTTTGCTGAAGTAGTTCAACGGGAAGAAGAGAGGGGAAGGTGTTGGTATGGGGGGAAGCGAACCGGAGAGTTTTGTTGTGGGATGCAGGAAAGAGAAGAAAGTGGGCGCATGGGAAAGTGAAGTGGGTGGCGGTTTTTTTTTGGGAGCTGCACGTGGCTGAATTCAAATTAGGGGTGCGGGGTTATTCGGTTTTGAAGAGGGGGTGGGGCTTTTTATGTCGTGTACACGGCCGTGTAAGCCGGCGTGTACACAACGCATTTTCGAAGTAATTAAGCGTAAGAGAAAACAAGTCATGAAAGAGAAGAAAAGTGAAGGGCAACTAACATATGTATCAGGTATGAATAAAGGATAAGACGGGAAAGAAGATATTTGAGCTTCATTTCAACTAATTTAACTAATTTAGTTACAAGAAATGTTTCAATTCAACTAATTTGTTTCAACTTAAACTTCATTCTGCCCTTTATTCAAACAACAAAACTTCAATAACATTTGATTGCCGGTGGACATAACTCAACTGGTAGATAGGGAGTGTCAAAGGAGTTTGTCTTGGATTCGAATCTCAACAACTGAAATAAAATTTTACCATGTAAAAATACATATGACCTTTGCAAGTCTTGGATCAGAGTATCATTCACTATCTATCAGCTTATAATTATATTTCAATTAATATTCTTCATGTTAACTGTCCGCCGGCCGGTGGGAGGCCTCTAGGATAGGATGTTATCTTTTTTTTCAATAACATTTGACATTGTTACTCCCTCCGTCCCAGAATTAACTTCGGTTTTGACTGGGCACGGAGATTAAGATAGTGGGAAATGTGTGGTGGAGAGTTGTGCAGAGGAGAGAGAAATGTGTAAGAATGGTTGGGAACCACAAATCCTTTGCTAAAAAGGGAAAGAGAAGATAAATTTGGGACGGATCAAAAAGGAAAGAATGAAGATAATTATGGGACGGAGGGAGTATTACTTATTAGATGAATTTGACTATTGGAGTCCCAAACATAGCCCATTAGTTTAGTCTATTGGTGGGCTTCATATTCGAAACGTGAATATCACGTGAGGAGAGTATCGTCCACTTCCTCCTTGCACCAATGTCCTCTTTTCGAGTTTTCGTGGCCGGATGTTAGAACCGGAATTTCTTGGAGCCACCCCCAGCCACTGAAGCAAGAACCGGAATCTAGCCGATCAAAGTTTTTTATCAAAACATTTCTCGCCGTCGCTCAAGACCTCCGCACTGAGATTGCCACAACCGAAGTAGATATGGGGTTTCGACCCCTTAAGCCCTAGCTTCTCAAATTACTGAGGCTTTTCATGCCATCGGCCCAGATATCCGTCGACTTTGGCTGATTTTTCGAACTGGGTCATCCATGGATTTCGTGGAGCTGGAGGCGATTGAGGGTCTCCGATGGTCATGGAACTCCTGGCCCGTTTCGAAATCCGAAGCTTCCGGTTTAGTTGTCCCCCTCGCGATCATGGCGACGCCGTTAATGTCCTTCAACGAGCTGCCGGTGCTCCCTTACGACCCTCTCGTCTGCTCCGAGTGCGGAGCCGTTTTGAACCCATATGCCCGTGTCGATTACCCGACCCGGACATGGTCCTGCCCGTTTTGCTACCGGAAAAATCCGTTCCCCAAGTCGTATCTTGGCATCAGCGAGAACAATATTCCGGCGGAGCTTTTTCCGACCTATAGTACGGTTGAGTATCAGCTGGGGAAGAAGGGTTTGACAACCACGCTTTCAGCGTCGAACTTGGTATCCGGATTTGGAAATGGGGCATCGTCTCTCACTCCAAGGTCAACCCGCGGGTCGTTTTCTTCATTGTCCACGCTTTCGGTGGTATCTGGGACGGATTTGACCGGACCTGCGTTCGTGTTTGTAGTGGATGCCTGTACGCCGGAAGAGGAGCTAAGGGTTGTGAAGAATGAACTGCTGCATTTGATTTCGCAGTTGCCCGAATATGCTTTGGTGGGTTTGGTGGTTTTTGACTCCATGGTTTGGGTTTATGATCTAAGCTTTGTTGAGTGCTTCAGGGTTGTACTTTTCCATGGTGAGCGTGAGCTCTCATCTGAGCAGGTAGACTGTACACTAAACTTTGTTTCACTTCTTGCATCACATTTCCTCTTTATGCATCACTTGTCAATGTTTCTATGAAAAACTGTGCTGCTTCAAATATCGGAGTTTTAGTGAACTAATTGCTACTTTGTAAGCTTCTTTAGACTTGCATAATATAATAAGTTCATAAAGATGTTATGGAACCACATTCTGTTTGGTTAATACAGGTACTAGAGCATGGTGTAGATGAGTACTAATGCTGGTTTGGATA